GTGGAATTTTGCCAAGGTGGAGATTTGTTGAAGTTTGGCAAATTTTTGTCCCACATCGGTGGGTTCTTGAGTTTTGGGGGGATTTTCCCCCTATAAAAGAAGACCTAATGTTTAGAATTTAAACACACCTCTCATTTGCCTTCTCATCTGTTTAAGACATTTGTATCTTCTCTCTTTAGTATTATTTCACTTGTATTTTTGGAGTGAAATAAAATATTGGTTGTGTCCGAGGAGTAGGCAAAATTAGCCGAACCTCGTAAATTCTGGTGTTCCCTTTATTGTTGCTTTATTGTCTTATTTATTATTTGGTGACTGTCATAATTTTTGGTATAATAGTTGTGACTTATTCACACTATATACATTTGGCTTCCACAACAATAAATTCATATATTATATATTTGATCATAAAATTACGAGACAAATAAAAAGTCTCACACAATTAATGTTAGTTATGGTAGACACAAAATAAAATTTTTCAACGAAAAACGTCTTAATAGATGCGATCCTTGTGAGACATGTAATGCAGTGGAAGACTGGCTATAAAACATCTCTGTCATTTTCATATGATGTTTATGGGTGAAGGGTATGAAATAATATTAAAATAATCATAAAAATCAGGAGAATAATTTTTTTCATATTTAAATTTTTTTCACGACAAATACACGAGTTCGAAAGAAAACACGATAGGTGATGTTTTCCCGCATTCTTTTTAGCATCATTCCAAAGGCTTTTTAACATTTTCCCAAAAAAGTAAATAGAGAACCTCCGAGTGGCCCCACCACAAGATGGCGGGACCCAGTTATCTTTAAAATCTTGTCACTTTATCCAATAAAGCGACAACTGCAACCGAATTCAACCTCTCACTAGTACTACGTACTAAAACTGCTGATTCAATCATTATTTTCTCCGAATCCATTGTATCACTGGAGAAGATTAAGGTTGTTCTAGGGTTTCTTGTTCTTCAATGGTGGAAATAGGGAAGATAGTGTTGGATACAGGATGGTTAGCTGCTCGATCAACAGATGTAGAAATCAATGGAGTAGAGTTGACTACTACTCACCCTCCTACTCAACCTGAATCTCCTTGGATGGAAGCTGTTGTTCCCGGAACGTAATGTTTCCTTATTCCTTTATTTTCCTTTTTGGTTTATACAAAATAATGGCCCTTTTCTTTTAAGTTTTAGCCAATGTGTGGGGAGTGTAGTGAATGTGGTGATGGGTAGTGTTCTTTTTGTTAGATTTGAAATGGGAAAGCTTGAATTCAAGACTAAATTGTTAAAATAAAATGTTCTTTTTTTTGGGATTCTGCATTTTCTCCACAGTAATAATACTTGTAGGCAAGTTGGAATTTGATATTGAGAAGTTTAATTAGTAAAGAGTGTACAACCAACTGATTTTTTTTTTAAAATTGTAATTATTATCATGTTCATCAGTGTTGTTGTTTTGTTATTTTGATGATAATTTTAGGATGATTCTTATGGTTTGAACTATTGATTTGGTTATGTTACTTTAGTATGTCTCTGTAGTTTATAAAAGATACAATCTTTTGTGATGAAATGACTTGATTCTCATTTTTATTTGGTCATCAATGAATCCTGGTATTCGCCGCTAGGAAGGATTTTGGAATATGTAGTTTAAACTTCATAAGCCCCATTTGGTAGCTTCCGTCGGGATTTTAAGTTGGTGAAAGATGGAGAGTTGATTAAAAAAATCAGATTTGATATTTTCTTAAATTGCCTGATATAAAGTTTAAAATCAAGCATTCTGGAGATTATGTTTTCTGTTGTTATATCTTCATTTTGTAACTCAAATTGCAGTGTTTTGGGAACTCTGGTAAAGAACAAGCTTGTTCCTGATCCTTTCTATGGGCTGGAGAATGAATCAATTATTGATATTGCTGATTCGGGGAGGGAACACTATACTTTCTGGTTTTTCACCACATTTGACTGTAAGCCGGTATGTCTCACAAAAATACCTGATCTGTTTCACTTGCCTTGGGTGCCTCATTTACTCATAAGAGTTTACGCTTCTCATGTGGAAAGTTTTCCACATTGAATAGCTCGAGCATAGTTATTTAGTCAACTGAATGAATGTTACAATCTGTTCATTTTCCTAGCTGCTTTTGCAACTATTCCCTGTGTTTGTTGCTACAAATGAGTGATTGATTAAATTTGTTTCAGTCAAATAATCAACACGTGGATCTTAATTTTCGGGCTATTAACTATTCTGCTGAAGTCTATCTGAATGGGCACAAGGAGGTGCTCCCAAAGGGAATGTTTAGGAGGCATTCTATTGATATTACTGGCATTCTGCATCCGGATGGTCAGAATCTGCTGGCTGTGCTTGTTTACCCTCCTGATCATCCAGGGCGAATTCCTCCTCAGGGTGGTCAAGGTGGCGATCACGAGGTATTATTCAAATTTAAACTTAAGTGTGGAAATCATGTTGGAAAGTATTTATTATTGTCTTTTGAAGGCACAAACTTAAGCCTGTACTTTCTGTAATCTGGGAGAGAGAATTAGTAAAGTTCGTAAATTAATTTCTAGATTTACTGTATTCCTGTCTCCTGACTTTATGTGAAGGTATTGTCAACTTTTGGTTGTGTTTCTTTGACAGTTGTGTTATTTACAATAAAATTGTTTCAACAAGAATGTGTTCGTGTTCACTGATTGCCTATTTCACAATAGATCAATATTGCAAATACAAGCTTCTCTATATTGTGCGGCATGGTCACTAAATCTCTCTTCTGCATGTCTTAGATTGGGAAAGATGTTGCTGCACAATATGTCGAAGGTTGGGATTGGATGACTCCAATAAGGTGAAGACAGATTACTGTTTCTGAGCCAGTTTTTGCATCGATTTCTTCTGTGTAACACTTCTCTTTTGACTTTTAGAATTGCCATATGATCATATTTAAAAGTATCTCACTTGGCTGAAACATCGGTAATGAGAATTTAACCTGTATTTTTACATGCATAATCTCAACTCTGCATATGTGAGTTTCGCAAAACATAGCCATCCCAAGCTCATATAAAGGAGAAGGAATGCGGTAGGTTGAGGTCTGCATCCCTTGAAGTGGACTTGAATTGCGTAGAATGCATATAGAGGATAATTTGGTCTTGAGGCATAGTTGGTGGATTGATATTTTTACATATATGTTTGTTTCTGTTAAAGGAAAATATTGTTGATGTGGGAAAACATTCCGTCTACAAGCATTATACCAAAAAGAAGAGAAACCTTCCCAAGATGTTTAACATATATAATGTCATCGATTTAAAAGTTTGTGGCTTGGATATTTTATTATGCTGTAAACTTGATGTGTCTGAACTGTGCCTGCTGGATAATCTCAAATCTTAAGAAATGCCAAATCTTTGTATTGAGATCAGATTCAAGTAACCTGAGGCTATCCCTTCTGCTCCTCGGAAAAGTACATTAACCAATTGAATAGTGCACTATTTACTTGTTTGTCTTTCTAAATTTCTGGTCAGAGGTTTATGGGTGATGGGCTCTTCATTCGGCAACTAGTAAATGAAAGATTCATATAAATCACTTGCATATAAGTTGTAGTTTCCAGGCCCACAAAAAAAATCATGTTTTATGAAGTCAACGAGGAGAAATTTTGCTGTAAATAATAAGCAATCATTTTGTCATCTTATAAGTTAATTCAGTAAATATCAAGTCGACAACTCATATATTAATGTTTTGCATAGTCGGAAAAGACTGTTACTTGGAAAATGCAAACATACTGTTCCTCCAATTTTCTTGGATCTGTTTAGATAAATTCACAACTCCATATTGCCAAGTGCAGTTTTTCTAAAACAAAATAAAGCAGGACTCTCTCACCTTAAATGTTAAACCGCTGTATGATATTCATTATTACAGGGATAGGAACACTGGCATCTGGGATGAGGTTTCCACTACTGTTACAGGGGTAAGATTTCAATCAAAATCTTATACTAGATCATGAATGTTTAGTCCGCTTCTTTGAACAATCATAGGAAATTCTTATAGTTTCTATTGTGACCTTTGTTTTCCAGACTTGTGTATCTTTTTTAACCACAAAACTGCTGGCAACTATTCGTTTTTTTACGATTTTGGGTGTTAGTGGTCAACTTTTCTTTTCCTTTATATTTTTTTTTCTTTTTGAATTTTGTTATGTGATGTTGTGGTGCGGCTTTCACAATTCATCAAGAAAGCCAATGAGTTCATAGCCCTGAGCTTTTATGTGCTGAGTTTTTCTTTTTGTGGTTAATATATAGTTCCTGATTCAGATTAAATATCAATTCTGGTGCAGCCAGTGAAAATAATAGATCCCCACTTGGCCTCAACGTTTTTTGATGGCTACAAGAGGGTATATTTACACTCTACGATAGAGTTGGTCAACAAAAGTGCCTGGGTAGCTGACTGTTCGCTGAACATCCAAGTGTCAACTGAACTTGAAGAAAATACTTTCTTAATTGAGCATCTTGAGACACAACATGTGTCTATCTCTCCAGGTGCCAGCATTCATTATACATTTCCTCAGGTTAGTTTCTTGTTTCTCTCTCTCTCCTTTTCTTTTACCTTTTTTTTTTCCTTTGCTTCTGTTAAGAAATGTACCTTGAGATTAACTCAACCTAGAAGCTAGCTCATTAGGGGAGGATTGCCCAAGTCCATATAAGGAGATAACCAACCCATTTCCCGACCAATGTGGGACTCAGGACTCTAACCCACTCTTAAACAACATCCCCTCCCCC